CTTCTCCGTTGCAGACAGGCTTCGACAGCATCCATATGGGCAATAGTGCACCACAGACAAGCTCTCCAGGTCACCGTTCAGCAAATGCCCCAGCACAAATCTTTGTTTCGTCCTCACCAAGGTCTTGCAATCCTTGCGTTGTCTGCTCAAATCTGATGGCAGTGGTAGAAGCAAATCAAAGACCTCTTGTCGGTATTGCGCTGCTCTTCCCTTGGGTGGGGAATCATATACAATTTCAAGCTTTGAAAGGATAACTTCTGCAAGGATTGCTCTGAGAGAAGCCAGTGCGCCCAAGTCCCGCTGGCAAAGCGCAGTTGCAAGCATACCAGAAGTGTCTTGAGGCACCAAGGCAGCTGCAGCTGAGTGTGCTTGCGCAATCCTGTGAGCATCACAGAAAGTCTGCCCCCCTCACCCAACTCACATTGCCCAAATCATCTGACTGTAGACTTTTCTCTGCCAAAATGTTGGCAGAATACCTATCAATTGTTGACAGATGCAGCCGGTAGGGGATCTTTGCGCTCAACCATCGAAGCGCTGGAAGGGCTTCAAGGATGTTGGTCAGAGATTTCTTGGTACAACGTGCCGTAGTTCGATCCAGTGCTTGCAAGAGGGTTGGCAAGCACCCACTCCACATCCAGAAGGTACCATCAGAAGCATTGCGACAAAGGATACGGACACCAAACTCTGTTTGCATCAATTTTGCATGATCTGATACATCTTGCACCACTGCACCTGTGACCCTATCATGTACGTTCACGCGGTTTCGAAGAGGTGTTTCATCATACCGGAACTTTCGGATCAACAGGAGGGGTTCAAACTTCCCAGAGTCAATTGCCTTTCCCAAGGTATGAAGAAGGCTGCCCCACAAAATGTTTCCTGCTTCATAAAGCGCACTTGCTGATTGGATGGCCTGCTCTGCAAAACTCGATTCTGAAACATCCAATGAGTAGGCAAGCATTCGGTTGGACCCAACTGGTGCGTTCATCAGTTTTGCCGTGAATGACTCCTTCAAGTCTGATGCTGCATCTGATGATGAATCAAGGCCAAGGCCAACCCATGCCGCATTTGAGAGGCACTTCTGCAAAAATGAAATGTCAACTGCATCCACTGTCCCCACCAAGCCCTGCTGCAGTTGCCTTGTCAGCGCACACACTGTGGTATTTGTGGACACTGGTGCAACTACTGTGCCAGCAGCTTGGTTCTGTTTGCAAGCCTTAGCCTTAGCGTTGGCAGCCCTAGCAGCCCTAGCATACGCAATTGAACCAGGCTGCAAGTCTGGAGGTGTACTCTGTGATTCCATGACATTTGCATTGCTTTGCTCATTCATGGCTTGTCGAAGAATCTTGGTCACACCACGCGGCCTTCCGCGTTTCCCTCCCCGAGCTTGCCCACGCCCTCTGCCACAGGCGGTAGTAGTATAACTAGTAGTGACTGTGGATTGGCTTTCCACCCTGCCAGCAGAGGATGATGAAGCATTGGCATTGTTTGCCGCATACAAAAAAGAAAGATCTTCCTCACTCGGCTCTTCTCCTGCGTTGTTGTTCTCTTCTGACTCTTCTTGTGTGTCTGAATTTGAAAGAAGGAATGCAAATTCATCCTCGCTGCCACTGTCATTCATTGCCATAGCAGCTTGTGTTGCAAATGACTACAAACAATACAAATTTGTACCCACTGTTTTGATTAGATCTCTCTTCTAGGATTCTAGGGCCTCTGGGTTTGTATCCTGTAGGACTGTACTGTACGCCTGTAGGCCATTATGAATGAAGTCTTAATCGGTTGTTCTCATTCATCTGACAGTCTTGATGCGACTAGACTTAGACTGCTGCTACTTGCTACCCCCCTTAGGGGGCCTTGGGAGCAATGAGCCAGACGTGTTCATTCAGTTGATCCAAGTGGGCGATACTAGTAAAACAGGTGGACCCGAACCTGTTGACATGGTCAAGGTAGCCATACGTCAGGTACAAAGAAAGCAATCCTGGAATTGGGTCTTGTCTAGGAGTCTAGTCTAGCAATTGCGCAGTGTAGTGTAGGTTCATGGTTGATTGGAATCCAGGTTGGTCCTATGGCATGGCCCTATCATCCTAAGTCTAGGGCCTGCAAGGCCTGGGCTTAAAAAAAGGCTGGCTTGTGTGGTCTTAGCGAATCTTTCCTAGGTCCCAGGCTAGTAAGGCATTATCGCTGGAGTACTGAGTACTGAGTACCAGCTACAGCTATTTCCTTTCCTTTCCCCCTCCACCAGTCGTCGGCAAGCGCCTCGGTCGCCTCACTTTCATCCAAATCGAAGAATCCAGATGCAATGTGTGCACGAAATATCCACCATGCTTGAACTTGACCTCCCCGAGCTTTTTCAAGAACCTTTCGTCAGACCAGGACAGGCTTGGCAGGCTGAATGGGCTCAGCTGAAATGAAAAGCACACTTGTTAATTGCTACACAGCGCACTGCGCCAAACTTAGTGCTTTTCTGATACTTACTAAGAGTGATCTACTTCTTTATTTTGCAATGCAGAAAAGAAACTCTTGCTTTGGGGTAGTGGATCCACCCTTTTCATATGGCTTGTCAAAGCCCTCGACTTGCTCGCTAATGACTATTGGAGGCTCGTTCTGCGCCAAGAGGTCAACCACATCAAGCATAGTTGCCGCGTACTCCCTGTGTGATTCGACTGAGCCAGCCTGGTAACGAGTTGTCCTTGCCGTTGAAAAGGGGTGGCAAGGAGCACCTATCACTCCCAGAGATGGGCGTGTTGAGCAAGCCTTGCACTCAGTAGCATACGGATGTACTGTGCAGGCCTTCTGTTCAATTTGGTCTCTCATGCTTCTAAACCAATGCAATGGAGCTTGTCCTTCCAGGTTGGCCTGACAAAAGTCACGACACTTGGCTTTGAGATCGGAGGCGCTGAGCACAATGAATGGTATCCCCAGGGCCTGCAACGAGAGACTGTTGCACAGCTTAAATTCATAACTTAACAAATGTTCGAGGCTTAGGTTGGATTCCCTCACATATGGCAAGTATAGTATCAATAAAGTATACCTGTATCCCTGTATACCTGTATGTATATATGACACCCAAACAGGTAAAGCTAACTAATGTAGGGAGCGCCTAGGGCCTAGCTGGGCCTAGCTAGCAGCTAGCCGCCTAATCAAGTCCAAGTCCAGGACTATACTGACTACACTAAACCTGATTGCAGTACAAATACGATCATAGAATCATAGAAACACACATCTGTCAGCTGGCCCTGGCCGCCCCGCCTTCAAACAAGACGCTTCTGGAAGTAAGCCAGAACACGCGCTCAGGATTCGAACTGGATTCAATCTCTGGAAATCTCTTCGTTTGCGTTTGGACCAGAAACCTTTTGTGTGTTCCTTCAGAAGCTGGCTCCACCATGTCCCAAACTCACAAAACAAGTGGCCACTGTCTTCAGTGTCTGAACTTGAAGACCTCACTGCATCTGCAAAAGTGGCAGCAGTGCCTTCTCGCTGCAGCTCATTGCATAAAGCATCACAAAACTCTTCTAACTCTGTACTCATGCCCTGGTGTGCCTTCTGAGCTTGATAAGAGCGCTGGGCAAAGAAAGGTCTTGTTTGGAAACACGCTCACAAGTCAAAGACTCTTTACTTTACTCTTTGTGTTAAAAATGCGGACACGTTTCTCGAACATCACCTCAACCTGACCTATGACTGTGACTATTCAACAAATATTCTTTGAATCCATGCCCTTGGTCTTCTCATGTTTGTTTCTTCCGTCCCTCTCTCTCTCTCTCTCTTTCTGTTTGTCTTTGTGCCTTTTCTGGTTTTCTATGATTCTATTGTGGTTTCTCTTATTTTTTTCATGTTCTATTCATTCAATGGTTGTTTATATTATATGTGTTTTATTTCCTTTTCTTTCCTTGTTTTTGTTTCTTTCCTTTTCTTCCCTTTGCTTGCTGCTTTCCTCGTCTTTCCTTTTGTTCTTTTGTTCCTTTCTTTCCGTTCTTGCCTTTTCTCTTTGCTTTCCCTTTCTTTCCATGTTCTTTTAATTTAATTTTATTTATTTTAATTGATTTCCTTTCCTTTCCTTTCCTTTACTTGACTTTCCTTTCATCTCCTCTCCTCTGCTCTTCTCTCCTCTCTCCTCTCTGCTCTTCACTCTTCTCTCCTCTCTGCTCTTCACTCTTCTATTCTCTTCCCTTCTCTTCTCTTCTCTTCTCTGCTCTTCTCTTCTCTTCTCCTCTCTGCTCTTCACTCTTCTCTTCTCTTCACTCTTCTCTTCTCTTCTCTTCCTCTTCTCTCACTCTTCTCTCACTCTTCTCTCACTCTTCTCTCACTC